CTCACCAGCGCTACCAGGCGGAAATCAACGACCTGGAGAACCTAGGGGAGATGGGCAGCGGCACCTGCGGCCAGGTGTGGAAGATGCGCTTCCGGAAGACAGGCCATGTCATCGCCGTCAAGGTGAGCCCCCACCCTCACCTGGGTGGGCCCTGAGCCCCTGAGCTCTGACGCTAAGGCTGCCCCAAACCTGGCTGTGCTGTACAGCAAATGCGGCGCTCCGGGAACAAGGAAGAGAACAAGCGGATCCTCATGGACCTGGACGTGGTGCTCAAGAGCCACGATTGCCCCTACATCGTGCAGTGCTTCGGGACCTTCATCACCAATGTGAGCGCAACTGTCCAGCCCCCTCCCCTTCTGCTGGCTTTCCCAAGTCTCCCTTGCCACTCCCTGAGCATGCCCCAGAGCCCCTGTCCCCTCCTCTGGGACTGGAGCTGTCTGGGGTGGGCAGGAGGTATAGTCGCCCCCAAGCTGTGCCTGCTGCCCCCGCAGACGGACGTCTTCATTGCCATGGAGCTCATGGGCACATGTGCCGAGAAGCTGAAGAAGCGGATGCAGGGCCCCATCCCTGAGCGGATCCTGGGCAAGATGACTGTGGCGGTGAGTGGCCAGGCAGGGGCTTGGCTGGGCAGGCGGCCCCCAGGCCTCCCCCTGCCCATAGTCATGGTGCCTTCCCCTTGCCGCAGATTGTGAAGGCGCTCTACTACCTGAAGGAGAAACATGGTGTGATCCACCGGGATGTAAAGCCTTCCAACATCTTGCTGGATGAACGGGGACAGATCAAACTCTGTGACTTTGGCATCAGTGGCCGTCTCGTCGACTCCAAGGCCAAAACTCGGAGTGCTGGCTGTGCCGCCTACATGGCAGTAAGTAGGGGCCCAGCAGGCAGGCAGGTGGTGGGGTGCCTCGGCAATGCATCTGCCCTAGCCACAGGGATCCATGCTCCCCTCTCCTATCTCCCTGTCTCGCCCCCTGCAGCCTGAGCGCATCGATCCCCCAGACCCCACTAAACCAGACTATGACATCCGGGCTGACGTGTGGAGCTTGGGCATCTCCCTGGTGAGTCGGAGCACCTTTTTCCAAAGGCCGAGGTGACCTGTTCTCAGTACAGGAGGGCAGCAGAGAGGAAAGGAGCCCGTCCTCTGCCACTCCAGCCCCTGTGTCTCCCCAGGTGGAGCTGGCGACAGGACAGTTTCCC